GCATTTTGGGGACCTGTAGAGAAAGATTTTGTTGGTTATATAAAGTCAGTAGATAGTGAAGGGAGGGCTACTTTTACCATTCGCCAAAAAGGAGCACTGGCAGCAGATACAAGAGGTCAACAACAGCAGTCAAGCTGCTGTTCCTCCAAAGCCACTGTACACTCCTCTCTGATTGAGGACAAGATTGTATTGTGTCACACAGCAGAAAGGCAGTATTATTCTCTAAACTGTGGCCTATATATGTGGTGGGTGGTGTTATCCCATCATCAGTATTGAATAAGATTGAACTAGCCTCATAATCAGTTTCTGTAATAGCATTTGGAGAAAGGAGACCATCTTGACTTTCTCAGGCAGAAAAGTAGTATTGGCCCAGGTTGGAAGGAGAATGAGCTGCCAAGTTAGGTTTAGAGTTGGGCTTTATTGCTGGAGTAAGCTTGAGGCAGAGATTATACCACAGGAATACTCCTTGTGATCAATTCTGAGGCTTCCCAGAGCTCCCAGCTTTAAGTCTTTCCATTTTTTGTAGATGCAATGCACAGGCAACCTATGTAACATGGATGCCTAGCCCTCACTAGGATCTGCAATCCCATATTTATTTATCCATTCAACCATCCCATGTTTTGCTTCTTGTTATCTGCCTTCAAGTGGTTTTGAACTTATGGTGCCCCTATCACGAGGGTTTCTGGGGTTTCTGGAGTGTGTGACTTGCCTAAGGTCACCCAGTGGTTTTCCATGGCTGGAGTGGGGAATTGAACCTTAGTCTCAGAGTTGTACTCCAGTGCTCAAACTACTGCACTATGCTGGTGTTCATTTTTGCTTCTAGATAGTTTTTATAATGTGTGGGATGGGCAACTCACAAAAATAAGATCTCTTCAAGCAGATGTAATTGTGTCTGGCCTATCCATCCCACTTTCCATCTTTCTGTCACTTTCCCTCTTTCTCCTATTTCAGTTTTGCAAACTTTGCACCAAACAGAATGCATGCAGATTACATATAATTAATGTTTAAACGAGGTCAAAGTCATGAGTAGCTTGGTTTCTGTTTCCTCAGGATGTTTTACTAGCAAAATCAGGGAAAAAATGGCATAACATCTGCACCAGAGTAGGACAAATGTCATAACATCTGCACCAGAGTAGGACAAATGTCCATGTTGGAGTTGCATTCCCACTTTCTGCCTCTGCTAACGTACACGTTGAGGTAGTCTTGCTGGCTCTTTTTCCATCCCAGTTTGAAGAACAAATATCTAATGATGCAGCTGTCGTAGTAGAGGAGTGCTACAGTGTGTATCATGTTGTTTGGAAGTGCATCTGATGTTATTAGTTTATCACTTACTGGTGTCAGTGTCTTATGTCATGTCTTACAAACATCCTTATACAGGAGGCTTAGTGGCTTCTGGGTCCTTAAGTACTGGCTGTCCTCACCCTGGAGACGTACACAGATATCTTTGTGAAAAGCCAAGTCAGCCTGGGCAAAGATTTGTTCATTGGAAATCTCTTGCCTGTAGATGTATCATTTAAACAGCAGTAGTGGGAGCTGAATCTCAACAACTGAAAAAGCCAGCCTCTCACCACCATATAGCAGGATCCTTAAAAACATAGGCTTGATACTTCAGCATTTTTACCTTAATGATTATTTTTGTCAGAATTCCAGATGTGCTTTAAAAGTCTACCCAGAATAGCATCTGCTTCCAAATACTGAGGTCTGAAACACACTGCAGAAATAATCCAGTTTGAGACCGATTTAACTGCCCTGGCTCAATGCTAAAGAATTCTGAGAACTATAATTTTGTGAGACATTTATCCTTTTCTGTCAGAGAGCTCTGGTGCCACAATAAACTACAATTCCCAACATTCCCTAACAGTGAGCCAGGGCAGCTAAAGTGGCCTGGAACTGGATTATTTCTGATACAGACTCTGGTCCAGCGTGTTTTGGACCAGAGTCTGTATCTTGTCCTATGGCTTCAGTTGCCTTAATGCTAAGTGTGAGGGGAAAATATGAAGATTTGTCCATGAAATATTATACATAGAAGGATAATGTTGTGTGTTTGAATGCACTACCCAACATGCTCAGCAGTTTCCCCATAAACAAGAGATAGGCAGTGTTAGCTGAAAACTAATGGCTGCCAGTTGGGCCAGCTGCTCTCCTCTAACTCTCTATATTTATTTGTTCCAGGCTAACATTTAATAATAATAATAATAATAATAATAATAATAATAATAATAATAATAATAATAATAAAATAATATTTTTATCCCGCCCTTCTGCAGTGCAATCGGGGCGGCTTACAACACTTAAAAACACCAATACATATATCAATTCCCTACCATTTCTCTTAGGCCACACAAAAAGCAAGGGACATAGTATGTCTATTAATAGAAAGGTATTAATGCCATAGATACACATTCATAGGATCAAAGTAAGCTATACAAAGTGAAACCACTGGCCTAGCTAGCCTAGTATTGTTGACAGTGACTGGCAGCAAATTTCCTAGATTTCAGGCAGGATTATTTTCCAGTCCTTACCTGGAGATGCAAAGTACTAAACCTGGGACTGGCTGCTTGCAAAGCAGATGCTCCACCATTGAGCTCTACAGCTCTTCAGTACTTTACATTCTTTGAATATATGCTGCACAAAACAGATCTGTTGCCTGACTCTCCTTTATGGAGACTCTGAGCCAGTGATCAATATAATCCTGTGTCACTGGTCCGTCCGGCTCCTTCCAATTATTTTAGTGGTGACACTGTAAATTAGAGTTGGGTTCCCATACACTGATTGCCTTTTTATTTGCTGTCTTGAAGAAAGAGGCTCACCCCAGTTCTGTCTGTTTCTTTTATACAGTGTATTTCTTTCAGGGAAAACCTTGTTCATCCCTATCTGTTGACAAGATCCATTAACCTTTGGGCCGTTGCTATATGGCCAGATGGTCATCTCATGCTGTCAGAAAGCTTTGGGTGCTCTTTTTCCATCTTTTCAGCTTGGTGTGACATTTCCAGCGGTTTCCACAGGGCCCTGCAGAATGTCTCCCGTTCTTGCGAGGGCCTCTGCTCCATCCCACCTGAACAAAATAAGCATTGATTTCTGCCTTCTGGGTTCAGCCCACATATAAACAGTAGTGGCTTTTTTAGCTGCTCCAGAGTCCGCTTGGGGGGAAAAAAACAGGACATGAACTACAACATCAAAGAAAATGTCATTTTCTTGGAATTTCACCTGAGAAGGCATCAGAGGGGCACAGTCGGGGGAGGATCTGGGTTCCTGTCTGCCCAATTTCTGGGGCTGGGTGTCTTGCCGATACTGTTCTGCTGGCAGCAAAAGTCTGCTTTTGGGAATGAGAAGCTAACATTGTGGGTAGGGAACAGACTGCCAATGCAGAAGCTCCATTACTCCTGCAACTTTGCTTAGTGCTCCCCCTTCTTTGGCCAGTTGGTTGTTTAAAACATTGCAGTGTTGTTTCTTTTGGCTGTAAATTCAGGCAGAGGCTCTCACAGCACACATCAACTAGAAAGAGACCGACTTCCATGTTCAGGAGCTGACAGGCAAAAGACAACCGGAGCACATTGTTGATTACAAATAGTGATGCCAGATTGTATTTGAGATTGGGCTCCTTTGAAAGTTTAGCAACAAGAAAAGAGCTGGGTACTCCTCCACATCCCCTTCCCACTTTCCACTGCCATGGTAATAGAACTGAGAAAAAGAAAGATCTCTGAAATTTTATCAGAAAAAAGTCTTTCCATAAAAGATACTTTAGCATTATTGTGATATGCCCTGCCATGATGGGGATCTTTTGGCTTAGAAGCATTTGGTCCTTGTAAAACATTATTTCAATACTTTACACTCTCCTCACTAGTTTTGCTATGCTTATTTTTCCAATTAGACAACAACGGAAAAGCAAACAAAAATGCAGCAAGTCTATTTTTCCCCAGCCCAACTGTCCCAGCTGTGCTCCTAGCGTTGGATCAGAATTAGTTGAGTAAGAAGAATGAATGGCCCTAGGCACTCTTGTTACTGTGTTTGTTTTGCTATCCCCTTTTACATAATCTCTAGTGCTGTGTTTTTTCCCCCTACAGCTAGGCACTTTCGTCTGTGTTTCCTCTTCTGTGTACTTGGCTTCTCTGGGCCCGCTATTAATAAACATATGAAGGGAAATTCTGTGCATTTCCCTTAATTAATATTGTGAATGGAAGGTCCAAGAGGTGATTCCTTCTCTTATATTCAACTTGTATTTCGCTTTTTGTAGCTTCATACTTTTCATCCTTCATCCTTCTGTCCAGGTCAACATGCCCAGTATGTGTCAACCTCCATTTAGGTTTTTAGCTGAAATACTTTAGACAGTATTGCATGAAAGCATCCAAACATCAAATTTTACTTTTTTGGCTGAGATTATTTGCCAAAATCCTATATTGCTTTCAAGTATTCTGGACATTTCATTAAGGTAGGATGTGAAATCCTGTAGATGGACTTCGTATGTGAGGATGTATGGAAAATCCAATTTTAGATTTTCTAGGCTTCTCTTTTGCTCTGCATTGCCTTTATGTGTAGTGTGTGTGTGTGTGTGTGTGTGTGTGTGTGGTGACCCTAAGGCGAACCTATCATGGGGTTTTCTTTGCAAGTTTCTTCAGAGGGAGTTTAACATTGCTATCCTCTGAGGCTTAGGACTTTATCACACAGGGGAAATCCTGTGCAGAAACAAGGTTTTAAATAGAAAAAAAACTTCAAAAGCGGGTAGATTTTCACACGTCGTCTTTAAACTGTTGTTCACTCAAACAGAAAATAGTCCAAAGCTGCTTCTTTTTACTTTCAGAAAATCCTGAAAGTAAAAAGGAGAGGCTTTTGACTACTTTCCGTTCAGGTTAACCACAGTTTAACAGTGATGTGTGTGAAAATCAAACCACTTTTGCGGGTTTCCCCTGGCTTTTAAATCCCATTTCTGCACAGGATTTCCCCCATGTGATAAAAGTCCTGAGAGAGTGTAACTTTGCCCAAGGTCATCCAGTGGATTTTAATGGCCAAGCAAGAATTTGAACCCTGCTTTTTAGAGTCATAGTCTAACTCTCAAACCACTACACCACAGTGGCCTTCTATATATGTAGGCCAAACACAAATTTGTTCCCCCAGATTCTCACATTGATGGCTGACTGCATACAGTATTTTAAAATGTACACCAAAAGAAATACCTATGGGGGAAGTAATAAAGAAAAAAGACAAATTTCTCCCTTTTAAAAAAAACAAAAAGAAGACAACCAGACATGGCTTTAGATTGGGGAAGAAGACTTTACAGATGCGGACACAGCCCTGTGTGCACATAGCAAGACATTTCGGGACACAGTTGTTCACAGAACAGAAAGGAAAGGAAAAGAAGGAGATGGGCAGCAATTAAGTAACTTTTTGAAAAGATAATGATTTAAGCACACCACTAGATGTTCCCGGAGGCTTCTGGTTTGAAACTGGAGTTTATCAGATGGAATAAATTGGAAGTTTAAAAAGGTAAGAACCCACAATTATCCAGCATATTAGGCACAATTGCGCAAATGGTTTTCACACGATGTTGCACGCAAACCGCATAAAATTCGACAAGAAAGTGACATGAACCAGCAAATAGGCATTTTCGGGAAAATATCGTGAATTTATTTCTTTTCATTCACAATTTTTTTTTTTTGCACAATTGCTATAGTATGAAAGCTATTTGCGAGATTCTCCCCATTTTTGTACTTGTCAGATTTCTCATGGTTCTTTGGGGTGAGTTTACTTCCTATGCTGCTTTATTGTGCCAAGAGGGACGCAGCCTTTCATGCTTCAGCCAGGGCTCTTAAAGGAACAGCTGCTGAGGCAAAGTCAGGGATACATACACACACAGACAGAGAAAAAGGTTGCTTCTCCCTCGTACACCTCTCTGTGTGTGAATCTCTCTCCTTTTCCAGCCTTCCCTATTAGCTAGGGCTCTTAAAAGAACAGCTGCTGAGGGAAGGCAGGGATGCAGCGAGAGCAAGAGAAAACTTTTTTCTAGCTTTCCTACTTCTTTTGGGTAATGTTTTGTTCTTTTTACTTAGGTCGGATACTATTTCTTGGAAAGTAAGGACCAGTAAAATACATTTTTATAAAGAAAATTGTGTAAATAAAACTTTCTGGGTGATTTCTGGTGATGCAACTACTTCTGTGCGCATGTGCAAAAAAGTTATTTCCAAACCATCAACGGGATTTGTCCGCATCTGTGTGAAAACCAAATGTGCTTTCTACCCACTTTCTTGCATTAGTAATGAGCTTTTAATGTGTTATTGTGCTCTGTGCGTGAAAATCATTCATGCATTTGCGTGCTTTTCTGGGATGATGATACTTTAATCATTTTTGGGATGGAAGCAACATAGATCCCTGTGTGATAAATTCCATAGATAAGATAGAAGAGCCTTTAGGATTTTACCAGAAGAGGGCAGTGCTCCCTGTTCTTTGCTGTCTATTCTGTTGCTGCTTATTGGAGATAATGCACTTGGAGATTTACTGGAAAGAGGCTAGAAAGTCTGAAGGAGCTTTTTCAGCTACTACCCATTGGTCTGGATCAGGGTGACCAGATGTCATAATCACAAAGGAAGACAAGGCACCATAAAATGTAGGAATGTTAAATGTCCAAAAAAAGTAGTAGGACATTACAAAATAAAAGCTAAAAACACTAATATAAATATAAATTAATGCTTCTCAATCATGCTCAAAATGAAAGGCATTTTGGAATTCCTCCTGGACAGAGTTTGGAATGTAGGATGTATCCTGGAAAAGGAGGATGTTTGGTCACCCTGGTTTGGATAGTCAAAAGACTGACTGCCTTTGTTCTTGTTTCAGCAGAATATCCCCAAGGACCTCTCCCAACTCTGTGGAATGATCCTCCGGAGCTGCCATCAGGCGGAGGGCCCTTAGAAACCACCCCTACTCCTCGCTTCTCAGATTCTCCAGGATTCCCACCATATACTTCTGATTATGAGCCAGAGGACACAACCCACCTCCAGCAGCTGGATAACGGGAATGGTACATGAGCTTGCCAGGACACTGCTCCCTTTTTCTCTTGTCTCTTTTTCTGCAATGACAGTAATTTACCAAGCTGTGGTAGGGATACTGGCTGGTGTCCTGTCACTTCTTTTCAATGAAGGTGTGAGGAAACCTTTTCCCTCTGTGGAAAACATTCCCTTTGGTGGAAAGTGGGTGGAGGCCCCATCATAAGCACATGCTGCAGAAGGGAGAATCCTAGTAAATGCTACAACCATTTCTCCAGTTTCCACTAACATATCTCTTAGTCCAGTGCTGCCCAAATGGTGATCATTGGAACAATGCTAGCCTTTGAGCTGTCAGTCCCTGAAGAGTTAGCCAGAAAGAAAGAAACCATTCTAATCAGCTGCTCTCAATGGGCACATTGGGGAAAAACACCACCTACGCCCCCCCCATCAGATTGCTTAAGAAGCATTGTCTTAGGCCTAATGAATCATATCTTTCTAGAGTTGGAAGAGACCCCAAGGACCATCCAGTCCAACCTCCTGCCATGCAGGAATACACAATCAAAACACCCCTGAAAGATGGCCATCCAGCCTCTGTTTAAAGACCTCTGAAGAAGTAGACTCCACCACTTTCCAAGGGAGTGTGTTCCACTGTCAAACAGCTCTTACTGTCAGGACGTTCCTCCTAATGTTGAGGTGGAATCTCTTTTCCTGTAGCTTCTATCCATTGTTCCAGGTCCTGTTCTCTTGAGCAGCAGAACACAAGCTTGCTCCATCCTCAATATGACACCCCTTCAGATACTTAAACAGGGCTATCATGTCACCTCTTAACCTTCTCTTCTCCAGGCTAAACATACCCAGCTCCACTCTTCACAGAGCTTTATGTTTTCCAAACCCTTCACCATTTTGGACGTCTAATGTTTGGGTGGAATTTCTTTTCCTGTAGTGAATCCTTCTATATTAGGATTGTGAATCAGTGGGCCTCCACATATTTTGGGCTTCCTCCTAGCAGATCTTGCCAGCATCATCAATGGCAAGGGATGCTGGGAATTGCAGTTCAATAACACCTGGAGTCCCACATGATTGGAATTCCTATTATCGTGGCAGATACTGCCTGAGCTCAGATGTAATATGAACATTACTCCGTGTCTAGTACAGCCATCAGATTGGGTATGTTCACTTCCAGTTTTAGCTATCAGTGGTTACTTGTTACATCCAGCACTCTGTTATGAGCCTGCCTGCATTTTGAGGTCTTTAGGGGAAGAAGGTCTCCTGATCCCAACACCACATGTTCATTTGGAGAAGGTATGAGGGGAATACTAATACTACTACTACTAATAATAATAATAATTTATTTATATCCCGCCCCTCTGTCAAACAATCAAGGCGGCTTACAACATTCAAATCATTAAAAAGGAAGGCCTTCTTGGTGGCTGCACTCCAGTTGTACAAGTCATCCTAGGGGAGGCTAGCTTGGCTATTCGCTCTGCTCTCTTTCCACTTGCAGGGAAATATATTTTTGTTTAGGTATCCTTTTGCCATTAGCTGTGTGCTGCAGATATATATATATATATATATATATATAAAATACACACACAGACACACACACACATTTAATGTGAGCACTACACTTTTCATATTGCCTTCCTCTGTTACAGTTACAGTGTTACCTACTACGTATTTGTTTAAAATGCTTTTAAACTGTTTACGGTCCAATGCCATTTTTAATGTGATTTCCAATTGCACATTTTTAACAGTTTTTACTATTATAAATATGTGCTGTTTATTTTATTTTATTTATAAGTGTTTACTATTTATTTTAGCTATACCGTGTGTTAATCTCTCTTGTAAGCCATCTACTGGGGAAAAGGCAGGATATGAATTAAATAAATAAAACAAAACAGACAAAGCGGAGTTAGTATTAACGGTGGCGTAGCAGAAGAAGCCAGAATCACTAAAATTGGCCTGATGTTGGCTTGTTTCTGTAAACATAGCTAGTATTAATCACCATTTAGCTGAATTGGATATAAAAACTAATCAAATGCATGCCACTCAGACTACTATGCTTTGGCCTTGAAAATGCTCACCCTGCTGAGTCCAATTCTCTGGTTCTGCATTTATTTAAAAAGCGATTTACTTTCACACATTGCCACTTTGTTTCATATTTTCCTGTCTATCTTGTGACTTCTCCAAAGTTTAGTTTATTTGCTTCTGGATTCTTTAAATTCCAGAAGTCAGGAAGAGACAAAATCCCATGATTTTGATTTGGTATTTTTTAGATTTTTCTGAACAAAAAAAATCTTAAAATCCTTGAATTCTGTGGAGAACAAAATGGAATAATCTAATGCTCTGCCGTATATCTATCTGAAAACTCTTCTGGTATATGTTAGGAGCTATTGATCATTGCTGTTCATAACCAATAGTAGAATTTTGAAAAGATCCAACAATTGGAACCACTTTGACTTGGGATGTACCCACACTGTAGAGTTAAAGCAGTTTGACACCACTTTAACTGCCATGACTCTATCCTGAGGAATCCTGGGATTTGTAGTTTGTGAGGTATACAGCCTGGTCTAGCAGAATGCTCTGGTGCCTCACCAAACTACGAATCCCAGGATTCCACAGGATAGAGTCATGGTAATTAACAGAGTGCCAAACTGCTTTAATTCTGCAGTATGGATATACCCCTTTTAAATTTAAAATTTAAAACTTTTTAAATTTGTCCCCACAAATCCCATAACATCAAGCAGCACGGTGGCTTGGAACTTTTTAGCTCAACAAGCAATTATGAGTATGCATGATCAGAAGAAGGATGAGAAATATTCCTTATTCCTATGCTCTGACCTAGATTGGCCTACCCACTAAAAAAAGTTGTCAACAACTGGCTTAAAGAATATGACAGAAGGGTTTTATAGACAGTACTGCTTAAGGTTGATCCAGCACTATTCAGTGATATTATCCTCGTGCAACCAGTTTTTAGCAGAAATGTATGCTGGAATTTGTAATCCAGTGTCATGCAAGCAGATTTTTCCTGTTGTCTCTCCGTCTGCAGTGCTGCATTAACCCCAGCTCCCAATCTGCTTCAGAGAATTCTCTGGAGGA